GAAACTTCATTACTTAGGTCATTTGCGGAGAGATTTGTCAATTAGTTTCGATAAGTACTTCTACTAGCCGATAGATTGCCTCACGGCTACCTAGACAGACACTGAAGATCATAAGATAGTTATAGTGATTTTCACCGAATTATCTCCTTGTGCCCCCATGTAAAGCCAGATTAATTGACCTCGAACTCACTTTTCATGATTCTTCATAGGCAAGTGAGCAATGCATCGAGTAACTGGATTAGCTTTGTTGGACCCACTCAACACGATAACCGCATATTAGGTCAATTAACTACCCAAAATTTCCGAGCTGTCTCCGCTTTTTTTGCCCACCGACTCTTTCCAACGGAGAATTGAAATGCACATTTGTGTTGGATTTCTTGACATTTTACCAATATTTGTAGCTCACTTTTCATTGCTTTATTACTGTCAGTGATGATGTGATTGTTTGAACACGTGGTTCATCATTGCCCCACCGTCACTCAACATAGCTGAGGATCTGATTGGCGCTAATGCTGTTTTTGCTTATATCATATAGGCGTTCACGATTATCCTTACTGGTTGTTGAAAGTCCACGAGCCCTTTGCGTCCGGGTTCGTCTTTGCATTACTCTCTATGATTGATCTATGGACTCCCCCTCTTTGTCACTGCTGCTGTTTGTGATGATGGCAGTGGTGCATTGTTTTGTGACACTGTTTCCTCCTCATCAGCGAAAAGTTTCAACCTGGTGTTTTTCAGACTTCACAGTCATCTTTCTTGTGTTAAGATGTGTCCGTTATATTTATAGGATACCTACCCGGTTAAAAAGATAACTGACGGACAAATCGCTTTCGGGGTCTGGTTTTCACGGTCAAAACAATCACCATGACCATACTTTTCCCCCGGTCGTCTGGCTTTTCCACGTTTAGCTTCGGCAAACCAAAACATACTAGACTTCGGCAAGATGTCAGCTGACTAACCTGCTACTTTGATGACCGCGATTCAGGTGTTAAACTGGTAACAGAGGCTTAGTGTGCGAGGTCAGCACTCGAACACCCCACCCCGCGGTTGAGGACGTAAAGTCATCATCATCATCATCGACAGCATGACATTAGTGTTCAACACCGATGCTTCACTGCCGTACAACCATGATTTATTTGAAAGCCTTATTGTGAAGAAGAGTAAAGGTGAACGGGGGAGGGACTTAGTGCTAGCTTACCACAATCATTCCGAGGTGCCTATACCTCGAGACATTCACTCAGGCGATCTGGATAGAAACTGATAACAAGAACGCCACTGACATCGGTTGGCAGCCATATCTCGTAGTGTCTCCAACCAGGCACAGTGAGGATCACGCTCCCCATCCTGGAAGGCGAGTAGCACCGACAGCACCCAAGCGTTTCGTGATATCCTTCATACTCCTCTGCCAAGTCAAGAGTTGGCCACCTCTCTGTTTACGCCACTCTGAATTGGAGATGGAAAACGAATGGTTTTCCATTCCCACTCTGCCGAACAGTGGAGAGCATAACAAGCATACAAATTGCGTGGGTGGGGTGGTTGAGTATTCTGTAAAAAATGTTCATTGGACTGGACATCTGAACATGGATTGAACATCTAGCGTACTATCGGGTCAGTGAACCATTGAGACGGACAACACCATAAGATAACTTCTCTGCAGACGGAACGTGAGCGAATGTCACGTTGGACAGAACGCACTCACTTCATTGTTCCAAGTGATCGATTAGTTGAACTGTATGGTGTTTTGTCCAACCACTCTGTCCATAACAGACACCACAAACCCAGGCCAGAGTGACCGCAGTCCCGGGAAGCATGCGTCCAAGAGGCCAATAAGTAGCCGATAGAACTGAGGGTGTGCACGAGACTTCGGCCTTTCAGTTGCCACGTTGTTCAGCATAAAATGATTTGTATAGCGCTACGCGGTGGTTATACTGTTCCGCTGATTTGCTAGAAAGCATTCGAAAGACGTCGGATCGAGTTGGAGACTGCGAACAGTTAGCGGCATTTTTGGTGTAAAAAGGCAGACATTAGCGCACTGGTACAATGATGCGGGTATTCTTAAGCCAGACCGTTTAGTTAGATACAGTGACAGGAAATTGTTGTTTTTGTTCGGGTGGCTGTTGATTTGATCACCGAACTTGGTGACTGGCGGTTTGAGGGTACTTCCTCCACACCTGTTAGCGTTTTTATAGCTTTTGAAGACTATGTTATCCCTCGACATGATTGGCTAGTTGAGAGGCAGGGGTGGGGGGCAGCTTTCTAGTGTCTCCATCGGTACGTTTTTGATCTTTGTTGTATTGTAGTTCGCATACTTTGATCACCTTTCTGACTGCAGTGGTTTCTGGTATTACCTTTGGAACCAGGTGGATGATATCAAACATTTCGTCAGGGTTGTTCCCAAAACAACTTTCGACAGAAATCTCATCCATGTGTATTTATAGTGCCACAGGAGAGAATGTAGTCTGCGGTACGGTTCTCTCACGGCGTTTCAACCTCATCGGGCCCCCTTGGGCGGCCACTCTTCGGGGACATTTAGAATGGAGCTGCTTGATTCCTTTGGAGGTTTACTATGTATATAGTTTAGCCGATCAAATTCACGAGCGTTTTGGAGGTACGAGTATTTTTACCTATTTTCTAAAATAATGATGGCAACTTGTGAGTCGACCGGACTGCTCATTGCTGGTCCTCGTGTAGGTGGGTGTGTTGCTGGTGATGATGAGAATTCTCAGTCAGTCATCCGTAATTGTGGTGATCACTTCAGCTCTTTAATCCATCTGCTTTGCCTCTACGAAATCACTTATCTAATAACAAAACATAGCGCCTGGTAACAACCTAATGGATTCCACACTATAGCTTTCTTGTGTTACACTGCGGTTGATCATTTATTTGATACTATCTTCAGGCTGTCTATTCGTTTATATTCATCCATTAGCAATTATCGAAACAAGGCGAAATTTCTCCCCACCCTCTCCTTCCTATTCTATGTTCACTGTTGTTACTTTTGAACGTCAACTTTATTAGGTTATACGAGAGGCAACTGGTACTGGACGCGAAACGAGGTTCGTTTACCTCAATATCTTGATCATGTCCGGGATAAAGCTGTCCCCTTGAAGGACCACAATAGCATCTCCCCTCAGTTTAACTTTAACGTGAGACCCATCAGAAGAGACTGCATCCCATCGGAAACCAAAAGCCCGCCTCCCCGTGGTGTCCTATTTTCGGAGGATTACTGTACCAAACTCATCGGAGAGCTTATATTTGTGTTTCGTTCTGGATTGTAGTTTTTTTTCATGGAGCCGGTTTCTTATGGTGGACTCCATTTCCAGGTATAGATATTCCGATATTCATTTTCCGAAATTGGTGGCACAATGTGTCCTTTCTTTCATAGGCTGACCCAACTTTGGCCTTATCCGTATACTTGCGCGCAAACGTTCCTCCAAAAGTTGTTCAGTGCTTCGCTGAGACTGGACAGTTCCAAAGAATCATTATCTACGCAAAGAAAGTTGGCTACACACCTGACTACATCTTTCTACTGCGAAACCTCACGCGGATCAATCCGGATCAGGGGCTTCAATTCGCTCAAATGCTGGTCCAAGATCAGGAGCCGTTGGTGGATTTGGAGCAGGTTGTTAATGTTTTCATGGACCAAGGCTTAGTTCAACAGTGCACATCGTTCCTGCTTGACGCATTAAAACACAACCGACCTTCAGAAGGCCATCTTCAGACACGCCTATTGGAAATGAACCTGATTTCTGCTCCACAGGTTTGTAGTTCGTTCTGGACCCGTACTATTTTGCTCATGCGAAAGTTGGGGCACCTGCTGCTTACGTTTCGTAATGAGATCCAGTGAACCACTTTTGTACACCGTTGTTTCTATGATTCATGGATGCACAGTTTAATTTTATTTGGCATGCTCGTGTCTGCTATCGATTTTTTTACGAGGTAGTTTCATTGCGCACACTTGTCAGTTGGTTCTCTACAGATGTGTATTATTATCGCAAAGGTTTTGTGACCGGAGGCACTAGATCGAAGTTGCGCTGTTAAACCAGTCGTGCGCGCTCACACAAACACAAACAGGCAGACTTGTTGTGCGAACATTCTGACAACGTTCATGAGTACGCGTGGGTGTGCACCTGGCCGAGCTTAGTCAACCTTTTTAGTGAGTTCAATTTAAGTGAGTTGTGGGATGGATCTTTTGGTGATCTTTACCACTGGTTGTTGACCTGTCTCGAGCTTGCCGTGTTCCAGCGCTAGAACGTGCAGCGTATATGCCATGCACTACACTAGTGATTTTGTTTTCATGGTCATGAAGAACGTGCAGCGTATATGCCATGCACTACTCTAGTGATTTTGTTTTCATGGTCATGGAGATCAAGTACTTTGACACAGAAACATGGGTTGATGAAAACGAAGTACGGTTCCTCAGTTTATTACTATTTAACTCACGTAGCGTGTCTAGTCGTCATGATCGTTGACCGCTGCAGTACCATTTCACTGCCATATAACCGCATCAATTGATTTTAAACTTGGTGCGAATGATCAAGAAATACGAAATTCCAGCTCCTCTTCAGGATTCCCCAGAACCTCCCACTGAGATGTCTTGTCTCCACTTTGGGACCGATTTTCAATTCTCGTGATTCATCTTGTCTCCCTTTTCGTCACAGGTAGCCGATGCTATCTTGGGGAATCAGATGTTCACACACTATGACCGCGCTACTGTGGCTCAGTTGTGCGAGAAAGCCGGTCTGTTGCAAAGAGCCTTGGAACACTATACTGACTTGTACGACATCAAGCGGGCGGTCGTAAATACCCATCTGCTCAATCCCGAGGTAAGTCCTGTCCCCACTTTTGGAATTGTCTTTACTTTGTTCCATACCAGAAGCGAAAACCACCAAAAGTGCTTCCTGAAAAATCATATTGTAGTCTGCAGCCACCTCCAGAAACCAGGCACGGGCGCTACGAAAACAAGCAAATAAACAAATTGAATGGGAATCGTAACTGGAAGCTACCTTCACGGGTGTTCTGTAGATAAGCTAAGGTTCTCCAAAAGACCGCTCACTAATCATTAGATTCGACTCCTTGAACAAAAACTCTCGGTTGGTGATATTTGGTTCGCATGAAATGTCCTGGTCCTGTGGGAACCATCTCGAGGACTTGTTCATCCAACCGAGGAGCCGAGTATGAATCACTTCGATCGAAATGTCGAGGTTTCGTGTCCAAAACAGTTTTGTCCATTGTGCAACACTGAAATTTTTCAACCTTCGCTACACAATAGTCTCAGGGACATGTATCACTCTTTTTCGAGTTACAGTGCACTAGGTAGACTTCACTAACTAACAAACTGGTAAGAAAACACCAATAATGGAATTCAAGGTTGGCTCAATTTTCACCCCCTACGGGGTATGTTGACAGAACATAATGTTTAAAACCACTGCAAACTATACTTCTTTCAGCTGGCGCCACACCTGAATTTTCATCCTTCTGGTAGCTGACGTGCCATGACGCTGTTAAGATGTCTCTAGGGCGAGTCATCTGAACCTAGCCTCCGTCAGTTTTGCTCTGTTGCTTCGTTATTGTATCGACCGGGCTTTCGTGCCATCGCCCGCACAGAGGGAAGCTAATCCATTGTCTGTCTATTTATTCCCTTCTCTCAGTGGTTGGTCAATTACTTTGGCTCGTTGTCCGTGGATGACTCACTCGAGTGCCTACGCGCTATGCTTCAGACAAACATCAGACAAAATCTTCAAGTTTGCGTTCAGATCGCTACCAAGTACCACGAACAGCTGGGGACGTCGGCTCTAATCGAAATCTTTGAATCCTTCAAATCTTTTGAGGGACTCTTCTATTTTCTTGGATCCATTGTCAATTATAGTCAAGAACCGGAAGTTCATTTCAAATACATCCAAGCCGCCTGCAAGACTGGACAGGTCAAGGAAGTTGAGCGCATTTGTCGTGAGAGCAATTGTTATGAACCGGAGCGCGTGAAGAACTTCCTCAAGGTAAGTTTTTTACCTGCCCGACACTCCATCAGTTTGACTATCTAGACATTCCACTGATCGCACCAGAACAGGAATTCGGAACCGTGGTGTCTTTCAGGCTTCATCTCCTGTTGCTGACTGAATGTAGTTCTTACCATCGAATTGAATGAGATATTGCACAGCACTTCAAGTCGGTGGAGGAAGCTAATGGTTGAGAGCGAATGAATGTTTTGAACTTGCCTAACATTTGCAGTCCGTGGGTTTTATTCGACTCGCGTCATCTGACACACCAAGTTAAACTGCAGTTACTCAAGCTACGGGTCCGCAAGGGTTTTTCCAACTTTTTTGTTAAGTGCGGCACTCAGAAGTTTATCGAATCGTCTGCCGATTTTAGGGTTTCATCGATTTGTTGAATCGGCTGAATCAGCAGTGTGGATTAGTCGATCGTCCTTCCATGTGTGTTGTAACACGTGACAGTTAGCGCACACATGTAGGTGAGCAGGATGACATTTCAGAGCCGTTGCCCATCTTTATTTAGATGAAGCCGTACAAAACCACGAATCAACACAGCCACAATAATAGTTTCTCCAGAACTAACGATGTAGTAGTGGTTATGGCTCTGCGTGGAAATGCACGCGGACAAACGTATCAGTGTTTTGGTGATCTTCGGTGAGATTATGTGCGCTTACCAAGACCACCTGACTTATCCTCGGGCATTTCAAGACCCCTTAAGCATTGGGAAAATGAATGCTTACCAAAAACCAATTCCTCCATACCGTAGCCTCATTAACCGAATCGCGTGGATTACTGTCATTTATCACCTAATTTTCTCATATTTTGGTTAATCTGGTGAAACACGAACGCACTTAATCCATTCAGTAGAAAACGGTCTACTGAGATTTCGGGATGCTCCTTATTTCCTTGCATCCTTATTTCTACGAAGTCCAGCAAAATCTGACTCCTTGTTCGAAGACGAAGTTAGAAATTTTCCCAAAACAGCATCGCTTATCTGGTAGATACATGGTAATCGATGACTCAACACCTTCGCGAAGGGTATCCGATCGTAGTTGTACTGTGTTCCGTCAATTTGGCGAACGGTCGCCTATGTTAGCAATATTAAAATATTAGTTAGTCATCATTATCAGCTGTAAGAACCGCGTACTTGTCGTACAGTGGTTGTAGCTGCTACGGCTTCGTTCACCGATGATTTGGGGAGGTGGGATAGGTACCTGCACATTGGAGGCGGGAGGGTGCGTAAATGTAGACCTGTCAGTGGAGGGAGGTGGAGGGAGCTATGCATTGAAGGCAATAGCTTGGATGCGCGAGCGCCAATAAGGGCGCGATTAGGCCATGTCTGACAACGTCTCCAACCATTGATGTGGCCGATCTCGGGGTCCTCATCCAGGAAGGCTGAAATGACCAGCGCAGCTGAGTTTGTCGGTAATGGCTTTCACACTTCGCTGCCAAGTTTTTGTTCGACCGTCTCTGGCTCGTTTCCACCCTTCACGTGGTTGTGCGAAAAGAACTCTACGAGGAAGTCGGTAGACTAGCATACGCAGCACGTTGCCAAGCCAACGCAACTTATGCAGTGTGGGCAGTTCATCTATCGAGGGTGAGTTATTTCTTCAAATACCATTCGACGTACTTCAGCATTGCTGATACGGTGTTCCCTCCCGGTTTCGGCAATGCTCCGAAGAAATCGATCGTGAAACGCTGAATGCCTTCTGATGTCCTCGGGTTCGAACCCACCCAGTCTTGCATTAGCACTTTACACCTTTCAAGTATGAGGCGCATGTCAAACCGTGAGGCGGAATTATTTAGATTATTTAGTACTGTTCGCGTTACCACGGCGTCAGATCCAAGAGGGGCTATGTCATCTGCGTACTCGATACATGTGAGCACACGCCCCGAGAGCGCTTCGACCGCGCAGGCATTAGAGGCTAATAGTGAGTCTTCCATAATCGTATCAATGACGAAGTTGGAAAGGAAAGGTGACGACTACTTGATTTGACTGAATTCAGGCGAGAGCTTCCCATATCGCTTCGCACGTCTGGGGGAGTTGACGTACTGCGCCTGAGTTCCGTGAGTAATGCTGACTTGGTTAAGAGGAACGTTGCAGTTAATACCACTAGAGCGCGCCTGTCGGTTCTCTCTCCTATGGACTGATCGAGTGGGCTTGTGCTTAAAGAAAACTATGCTTTCCGCTTCTCGCTTGCATCTATTTCACATTCTAGATTCATTTTCACCATAGCTGCCCAGTGTTTCCACCTTTTTTCATCCGGTGACTTCACTACTTTACTCTTCGGAATCTATCATTTGATTAACCCATCATGAGCGAAAGTTTGTTGCTATTGTTACAATCCTTTGCTTACTCTTCGGTTTATTTGCAGCTTTTCGTGTCAGTTTACATCTTTTGGTGACCACCCTTGTTTCTTTTAACTCTACAGGAAGCCAAGCTGACCGACCAGCTTCCTTTGATAATCGTTTGCGATAGATTTGACTTTGTTCACGACCTTGTGCTTTATCTGTTCCGGAACAACCTGCAAAAGTACATTGAGATCTATGTGCAGAAGGTGAACACACAACGCCTACCAATTGTGGTGGGTGGCCTGTTGGACGTAGATTGCGCGGAAGATGTTATAAAGCAACTCATTGCTGTGGTTCGTGGTGAGTTACACCAGTCTTGATTTTTATTCTGATTTTGCTCGCCCACCTTGTAGGTTTATCTTCCACAGGATTCACTAATATTGTCTTCTCTTGCACGAACTAGAGTCTTTGATCGTGAATAAGCTTGACTCGCTAGTTGAAAACCGGTGTTTGTTTAAGGAGTGCGTTCAGAGTGTGCATCGATTGGATTGCTTTGTTTCAAATTCAGTAATCCAAATTCGTGGTCATCTGTTCTCGCTGTCACTACTAATAATTTCAAAGGAAGATCTGTTTTACGTAGCAAGGCATCATATTGCTCTCATACTTTTATTCGTGTTTGACGAGATTTTCCTTCCATAGCTTTTGAAGCCTTTGAAACTTTTGAAGGTTTGAAGAGGATTCAAACCGGGGCTCTCTCTGGTAGCAAAGCACACCCATAGGCCAGAGAATTACGCCGGCCGATTGGATCATTAGTTAAATCATTTTGACTGGAACCATGGGAAATTTACGGTGAACTAAAGAACAATCAATCATCTTATCAGCAGTGGTATTCCTAGTCATTTCTACCATAAACCATGTACCAAGTGTACTCTTATGAGGGGGCGATATTTGATTGAAGAACTCTCATACGGGGTGTGGCTGCAGCGAAGCGAATCGGGACCGAAGAGAAACATTCGCTTGTTTTCCACAATCGATTGTATTTAACTGTGGTTGAATGTCAGGTTGCTGAATCACCGTTGATGTTAATCTGGATAATGGGCGGATTGAGGACCAACGGTTTCTGTACGCGCCGAACATTCGCCAGGCCGCTTAGTAAATTTTTTTAACCGGTGCATGCGAAAATCACAAACACCTGTGTGCATTTTCTTGTCTGCGCAACACCGGTTGAACCGGACCTGTCCCGCATGTCGCTGTGGTTTTACGAGAACTGTTTACCACTAGCAAATCCGTTTGCCAAGCTGGACGATTTGTTTGCAGACTTTTCGTCACCAAACTTGGTGGCATCAGTTAGCGGTAGTGCAACTCGCATCAAGGACGCCCCATGTGTCGTCTCCACTTTCGTTGTGATAATGCGTCGGGTTTATCCTACTGTGTGATGCTATCTTGTTTCTGGGTGGTCCCAACTGTTGCATGACGAAATCATCTGTAGTAATCGAGGACATCTGTTTCGTTTTTTCGGTTTCTAAACATTAGGTGCACTTTTAGTGGACAAAGGTGGGTTTACGGATCCTTTAAGGGCAGTGCTTGGTTTTGTTTTGTAGTTGGATGTAAGCAAGCTGTAAACGAATCGATTTGGCTTACCGCACATCACGAAGCGTGGAGGGGCTTTCTTTTCTCAAGGCTTTTCATCCATAACACTCGATTTAGACTGCTCTACGCTCATTGAGGTCTACCCACCTTACAATTCCTTCGCTAGTCTCAGTAGTTTAGTGTTTGCGCTGGATCAGAAAACCACGAACGAAAGCCTAGTCATTATGCCGTTCCTGAAAAGAACGGAGAAAATGGACGTAAAATGGCACCTAATGGACTCGTGTAACTGAGCTATGTCAAGACTCGTTGGCCGCATCGAGTCACTACGTCGAAAAAATGCGGTTGATCTTAACTACCATGAACGATATCTACCCGTTCCAAAGTGCGGTCAGCTCATTTGCTGCCCCCGGTCCGATTATTCGTTTCCGCTTAAGTATTTCGTTCCAGTCTCCTGGAAGCTTGATAGGTCAACTGCTCTATTCACGTAGGAAGGACATGATCCAACCGACGAGTACCGTACTTTGATCCATTATTTAATCGTCACAAAGACCACTCAGGTAATAAAGTAATCGTTCAGCTGTAGAAACCTTTTGATGCATAAATCAAGAGGGAAACCTAAACAAGAGCAATCGAGAAGCCAGGGTTGGATTCGAGTCACTTTCCTGTCGGCGGCTCCTCGCCTTACCCAGTGAACTACCACGACCTGTAATAATCGTTCTCAGCTGTAGTACCCTTGTGGTGGACCATAGCTAGCTAGTATTAAATTCATTTGCTAATTCGCCCTCAACAAGATTTCCTACTTTCCAGTCCAATAGTATCTGGATCCATTTCACCTCGGGAATAATCTTAAACAGTTTATCAATATGACTTACTCAAAAATCTACTGTCCAATGCGCCTCTGGTTAGTTCAATGAAAATTAGGCTCAGCACTTGACCTCCCTTACTCATTCACCAAGCAACCTTACCCTAAGCGCTTTGACAAGGATGTCCTGTTAAATCTTTGTGAACCCTTCTACTTTCTTATGGAGACAACTGCTAGGTCGACGAGAATACCATGTGACCTCGACTTTTGTTTCATTTGCCTAGGCCCGTTTAGCACAGATGAGCTAGTAGCCGAAGTGGAGAAGCGAAACCGACTGAAATTACTGTTACCCTGGCTTGAATCCCGTGTACATGAGGGCTGCGTGGAACCTGCCACGCACAATGCTCTGGCCAAAATTTACATCGATTTGAACAATAACCCCGAGCGGTTCCTGCGTGAAAATCAATACTATGACAGCAATGTGGTTGGCAAATACTGCGAAAAGCGCGATCCGCATTTGGCATGCATCGCTTATGAGCGTGGACGCTGTGATCAGGCGCTAATTCATGTAAGTATATGTTGACTCTTGGTTGATTTGCACTTTGCTTTAAAAACAGAAGTGCCCTATCTTCACGTTTTGTACGTTTTTGTTGATTTTCGGACCCCCTACCAATCCAACACCAGCATTAATGTTGACTTTGGCACTTAGGGCATATGCTTGAGAAACCGGTTGTTCTTGTTTAGATGCCATCATTCTCACCGGTTGAGTGACAGTGCGAATTTTTAAGCATCGCTTGTCCTTCATGTCTTTCTACCTAATAGAGCTCGCTGAGTGGCTACATCAGCTCTATCCATTATCCTCATTTCAGGTTTGCAATGAGAATGCACTGTTCAAGACGGAAGCTCGCTATCTCGTTCGTCGAAAGGACCCGGAATTGTGGGCTGAGGTCCTTAGGGAAGAGAACACTTATCGACGTCAGCTGATAGATCAGGTCGTTCAGACGGCGCTTTCCGAAACACAAGACCCGGAGGAGATCTCTGTTGCTGTGAAGGCATTCATGGCTGCCGATATGCCCAATGAACTCATCGAACTGTTGGAAAAGATCGTGTTGGAAACCTCGGCCTTCTCTGACCACAGAAATTTGCAGAACCTTCTAATCTTGACGGCTGTTAAGGCAGACAAATCACGCGTGATGGACTATATCAATCGCCTGGACAACTATGACGCCCCTGATGTGGCAAATATTGCTATCAACAACCAGTTGTATGAGGAGGCGTTTGCAATCTTCATGAAGTTTGAAGTCAATACTTCAGCAATTCAGGTACTTTGTTTTTTATCTATGTAGCATATCCGGTTTGAAAGTTTTTTATCTATGTAGCATATCACTGCGGTTTGAAACAGAGCTCGATCTGAATGGCACAAACTTTTGAGGACAACAGTTCCTCTTTGGACTAAATGTACTTTTATCCTAATATAACAGACAGACTGTGCGGTAAGCTTCTACAAGGTGACCTTTCAACACCTCGTTTCTAAGTGAATTGACCTGGAATACTTTTCTGAGCAATAGCGGCGCTTGTTTTGGACCCTCATACGTGGATTCTGCGAGGTTCTATCTCAGATGGCGGACCAACTATCGCTATGCAAGTAGCTGGCGGTCTTACTAGCTCTGCTGTTTGCCTGTGCAGTGCGAAGACGGTCTTTTGTTTGGGACACTTTGAATAATAACTGTTGAGTCGAAACTGCTCCTTTCATTTTTTCCATTGGTCGTGTTCGACGTTTGATCCATCACATCCCGTATTTCGTTGGTTTTCCCCAGTGTACCTACTGTGTTTTTAAGACAGCTACAAATTAGCGTATACCTCTGCGCAAGTAANTAACTATGTTCTCTTCCGATTTCGCGTATGACTTTTACTCGAGTAATCTGTTCCAAACCCCTTTCCGTTTCTAGGTGCTCATTGATCATGTGAAAAATCTGGATAGGGCGTATGAGTTTGCAGAGCGTTGTAATGAGCCTACCGTATGGAGTGCTTTGGCCCACGCCCAGCTGCGTGAAGGTTCTGTGAAGGAAGCTATCAACTCATACATACGGGCCTCTGATCCGAGTCGATATGAAGATGTAGTGAGAATAGCTTCGGCATCCGATCACTGGGAGGACTTGGTCCGGTATTTGCAAATGGCGCGCAAGAAGACCCGAGAAACATTTATTGATTCGGAATTGGCCTTTGCTTATGCAAAAACCAATCGCTTGTCGGATCTGGAGGAGTTTATTTCTGGCCCAAATCACGCCAACGTCACCTTGGTAAGAATGCATTTTCTCTTGTCTTCACTGCATCCTGGTTATCTGTCGACAATTCATTTTGCGGCACTTTTCGGTTGCTTTTCAAGCAACCAACGTTGTAGCTGCTCTTTGTCATATTCTGCGCACCGTTCCTCCCCAAACATCGGACTTGGGTGACTGATGCGATGATTTTTTGTCTATCATATGCATCATCGACTGGTTTCTTCCCGACGGTACTGAGACCGTTTATTTATTGAGACATTAGACACTATATTCAATGTATGCTTGTGATCCATGGTCCGATTAGATCACATTGCTTTTGTGTACTTGTCTTCGAATAACTTATCAAGTCCGGATTATTGCTGGGTTTCCGGTCTAGATTTTCATTGCTGCTGAAATGTAGCATATGATATAGTTAATTACATTTTTGATCGTTTTATGCCTCCATTGGATAAGAATATTTCAGACACTTCGGTTTGACCGATTTGTCCACTTCTTCACTTTTCCTTGTTTTATTTCCATCTCGCAGGTTGCCGACCGTTGTTTCGACCAACAAATGTACGTGGCCGCCAAACTTCTCTACAGCAATGTCAGCAACTACTCTCGACTTGCCATAACTTTGGTCCATCTAGGCGAATATCAAGGCGCTGTTGATGCTGCTCGTAAGGCGAACTCCACGCGGACATGGAAGGAGGTCTGTTGTGCCTGTGTGGACCACAAGGAATTCCGATTGGCCCAAATGTGTGGTCTACACATCGTGGTCCACGCGGATGAACTTGAGGATGTGATAAACTACTACCAGCAACGTGGCCACTTCGATGAACTTATCCAACTACTTGAAGCGGGGCTTGGACTCGAGCGGGCCCATATGGGGATGTTCACCGAGTTGGCCATTCTCTATTCTCGATTCAAGCCGGAAAAGATGCGGGAACATTTGGAGCTGTTTTGGTCCCGCGTGAATATCCCGAAGGTCTGTCACTGGTTCTCAAACGCAGTCTGTCTTTGTTTAGCCTTGTCAACCATACAGTTCGCCAGCTTGGATTTTGACGACCAACGTGTATGATGTTACTGAGTTTCTTTTGACCCTTTTGTGGCGTTCCGAAATGCACAGAGCAGTTGGTGATCCAGATGATGCTGGCATGGGGGAAGTTAGCTGTTTTTGGTAGCTGAGTGCAGCTGCGAATGTAAATCTGTCAATACTTCATTTGGTGTGCACCAGATATGTGTGTTACTGAAGCGGTGTTTGTTAACCCTGGGAGCGTTTGTCATCTCCTAGCTTGATTCACATGTATCCTTGAGTGTGCATCCCTTTGAGAAATTTTACCACTAAAGCGGGTTCCACTTATGTGACCGAGAAATAACCTCTCCAGATGCGGGTTACCTGTACCAACGAGAGACATGCCACTTATCAACTGCATTTGTTCTGCACACTGGAACAAGTCTGTCCATCTGTTCAAAGTGCACATAACCCGCCGTGCTATCTGCTTTTTGATACGCATTCCTACCTTGGCTACGCCAGTTTGTCCCCACGTCAACAACTACACTGTTCCTCTTGTAAATTACTCGCTTTCGGATGACTAACTTCTGAGACAGAAGCATCTCAGTTACATGCTGTAAATTTGAAAAAAGGTATATTCTGATGCCCTTATTATCAGCTGCAAGAACCGCGTACTCGTGGTTATAGCTGTCTCAGTTTCATTCGCCATTACTCAAGTTTTTTTCCAGTTCGAGACCGTTTTTCGATCTTGCCCAGATGTCTGCTTTACCGTTTTCAGGTACTGAAAGCCGCGGAACAAGCGCATTTGTGGCCCGAACTGGTTTTCCTGTATGACAAATACGAGGAATTTGACAACGCAATTCAGACCATGATGAAACATCCAACCGATGCTTGGCGCGAGAACCACTTCAAGGACATGATCACCAAGGTCGCCAACGTGGAGCTCTACTATAAGGCCATTCAGTTCTATTTGACCTACAAACCCCTGCTCTTGAACGATCTATTAACCGTTTTGGCTCCTCGACTGGATCATACGCGTGCTGTCGGGTTCTTCCTCAAGGTCGGTCACATCGCTCTGGTCAAGCCATATCTACGCTTTGTGCAACAGAATAATGCAAATAACAAAGCGGTGAATGAGGCTTTGAACAATCTGCTGATTGAAGAAGAGGACTATCAGGTAGGGTGTGCGGGTTGTTGATTAGTTGATGAATGACTTGATCAATGAATGGATTAATTAGCGAAGGGGGCGAGATGGCCCAAGTGGTTAGAGCGCAAATTTACTGACCGGAAGGTCCGTGGTTCGAATCCGACCTCCGCCAATCGACTTCCCCTGTCTAGGCTTGGGCAAACTGGCAGTATCTCAGCCCTCGTGCTTCCTTCGGATGGCATGGCAGCTAGGCACCAGAAGGATGCTACAGCTGAACGCCTTAATTAGCGAAATAACCAGCTACCCTGGGGGTTGTGTGAAGATTGGAGAGATGACTTATCAACATACCATTTCACCAAGTAGCGGTTTTAATAAACGACTGGAGAGTGAAATGAGTTGAAAATTCTGAATGGATTTTGCAGTAAGCACTGATTGTCGATCTGGGAGTTTATTTGACTCTGGTATTTGTCGGATTTTTAAAAAATGTTCCATCTTGACATTTGAGGATATTTGAGGATATACCACATGGTTGTTTGAAAGTTTCAATAAAATCAACGGTTCTCACGGCGTTTAACGCTTGAAAATATTCATCCAGTTTACCCATACGCGAATCCCAAGTCGGTCTGCAAGGTAACATTGGGAATATTTTCCATATATTACACGCTGTTCACTCGATCCGCGTTAGTGGCAGCTGCTCGTGGACGGGTAGGTTGGTTAACCGCAGCAGGAAGACGTGTTCAGATATTCGGCATCATGTTCGTCGATACCAACCCTGGTTTTCGAGTGAAACCAGCCGTGATACCCCTGTATTATGGCGTATTCCATGTAAATCCCAACGTGCTTGGTAGTTATTAGTGTTATTGTTTTTACTCGAAGTAATGTCAGTAGGTCAATACCACTAATAATAAGTTAAGTATAGTGGCCACCAGAGACACCGTAGTACATTAGAATTGCACACAAAAAAGAAGGGGACTTATCGAGTTCTTCGGTGGGACGATGTGGACGATGCTGGGGTTTGCTGGACGCAGTTGCATTGAATGAGGGTCTTGATCGAGCATGTTGAAATCTGGCCCGCTTCTTGTCGTTTATTCCAAACGATATCGAGTCCAGACCCGCACAGTGCAGTGAGTCGTGCGTAACTTTGAATTGCCTCAGGTCAAGGCGTTGTGTGAAGTGATGAGCGTAGGCGTATTGCTGTCGTTGTTCCGCATATGTATAAGTTTACGTTGTGTGAGAGGATGCGCTTGCATTGTTTGTCTTATAATAAGGTTCAGATAATATCGGTTAGTCGTGACAATCAAAGCATGAGTGAAAGTAGTGGGTGTACATGAGTTAAACAGAGTTAAACAGTTAAACATTGATAAGGTAGTAACCGAACTCCGTGCAAGCGGTTGAAGATAAACGTTGACGAGATGGTACCCTACATAGTAAGATTTTTCAAACGGGTAAACATGTCAGCTCGAATGTTAGCTACATGATCACCGGTTTTCTATGCTCTAACATCGTTCTGTTTTTTTTTCGCAGGCTCTTCGTCATTCAATCGAAACTCACACCAACTTTGATCACATTGCTTTGGCACAAAAACTGGAGAAGCATGAATTGACGGAATTCCGCCGACTGGCTGCTTTGCTTTTCAAAGGAAGCAGTCGTTGGGCTCAAAGTATTGACCTGTGCAAACGGGATAAATTGTATACCGTATGTTTTGCCATTGCTGACTCACACACCCATTATTTTGTTGGTTACCCCTAAACTCACAAATAAGTCTTCCTCGCTTTTTATCCGTTCAGGACGCCATGCAATACGCTTGCGAATCGCGCAATCCCGAAATCGCTGAAGAATTATTGCGATGGTTTTTGGCCGAAAACCTTCCCGACTGCTTCTCTGCTTGCCTGTATCGCTGTTATGATCTCCTACGTCCGGATGTGGTACTCGAATTGGCCTGGAGAAACGGCCTTGTTGACATGGCTATGCCTTTCATGATACAGGCCATGCGGGAACTGACCACAAAGGTGATTGAGTTTCGGATGTTTTCCACCGCTTTGTGCCAGAGATTGGCGGAATAAAATACATTCCTACACGCCCAACCGTGTGATAGTTGTAATTATAACCCCACGGTTCTGACCCTAGTGAATGCAAGTCTTGCCTTTGAATTTGAGGACATAACAGCTCAGTACACGCCGGTCTTTATTGACTGTACTGTGGTGCTTTACCTCCTACTACGATAATCTCTTGAGGAAAGAGGATATTCCCCTGGAAATTCCACAGCGGCCCTTCCCAGTCTGTTGCAGCTGGTGGCAGATAATCCAGGAACGCCTGAATGACTCTTTTTCTCCATGTTGGTCCATTCAATTTGTTCAGCAAATTGTACCTGTCGGTGGAACACTTCATGTTATCGACCTCGGAGGGTCCAGAAGGAAGCAGTATTGAAAGCCCTGACCAGTTTTCGTGGTTGCTGATTCGTCTGCTCTTCATACGGATCTAGTTCGAGAACATGCAGCTATGTCGTGTTACCTAAAGTAATAGAGATTCGAAGCGGTTCGCAACCGCAGCATTGTCATAACCTACGACATGCTTTCCTGTAAATAACTGAAGCGTGAACACCAAGTGAAACCCTTCGCCTTGCTTCAGTCCAGCCGTTTTTCCCGTTGTTGTGGCATCCAACTAATAATGGAAACCCATGGAGCCAGATTGACCACATAGCCATCGGCACTGTTTGGCCAGGCTTCATTCTGATTGCTGGTCTTTTTGGGCCATTCACGTGGATTCAGATCCTGCGCAATTCCGGTGTGAACCTTCTATAAGTTTACCTGGCAGATCGAGAAAACCCCTCATTTGACCGCCGAAGAACCTGACACACAACTCAAACAGCTTTATCTAACTGGTCTTTATGAACCTTCGAAAGCTAAACTTCCAGGGGGTCACTCGTAATTGGGACCAGATGAGGATAGCTGTTCATGCGTCAGGAAACTCGGCACCAAATGAGCACTGAATTTCGAAGTGGGACGTCGTATCCCTTCGAACACTGAGCTCAGCCAGCAAAACTATTAGATATTGGCTCAAGCATGATCTGCATGCGGTTAGAGACCTGGTTAAATAAGAAGGCTCCAGGAATGGTGAAAGTTAGTGCAGCTAGGAATATCCGGAAGCTTTTTTCTTTTAGCATGTAAAACAGAACCGATGGAAACAGCTGCTAGTGAGGTGATGAAGAATAATACTGGAGTGAGGCATCGGTACGGCAGTGAAGCATCGGTGTTGAACACTGATGTCATGCTGTCGATGATGATGATGATGATGAATACTGGAGATCTGATACATAACAAAAACCATCGTCTGAAAGACTGGGCTGATTATTGTGGACGGCAACTTGTTTGACTGTCTACTGTTTCTTCTCTGTTGCTGATTCTGTTCTGTTCATATTGTGTAAAACAGTCTGTTGTTTCCAATCAATTGGAAAATCTTTCCGTTTTGAACCTTGATCCCCTTTTTTAACCTGAAAGATGACCGTTGACCATCGCCAACCACTGACCTGCACACAACGCGTAGTTCAATCCAGTCACGTAGGCTTCATCTTGTGACCCGTTTATCTTGAATCGATGTTAACGGTGAGCAGGTGTATTGTTTCCTGCTTGCTTTATTTGTTCAAGATATTTTCTTGGTATCAGCGTTAAGTAAACGTACACAGAAGCTTTCATAGCCCCACGAGTTGGAGTTCGTACCATTTCATCGTTCCGTTTGAGCGATTAGGCTGTTAAGGATTTGCGTCCAATTCAACATTGCCAACCTGGACGCAATCAGTGCTGCGAACGATGCGTTGCTCAATTTATGCTGAATAACTGTTAAAGCCTCTAAAAATTGACACACCACACTTCAGGCAAATTTCACTCATTTCCTGCGAATCTCCCATACTGAGTAGTATTCTGTAGTATCTCCGGTATCCCACTGGTGTTTACTAGGGAGTAAAGCTGTGCTACCTGTGTTTTCTTGACTTAGGTGGACCGACTGGAACATTCGGAGCAGACGCGCGCTGCAGAAGAGGAAAAAGCTGAACACGCAGTCAATCCTCTAGTAATGCGTAAGTCTGTTTCGCCAGGTGATGTCTCTTCCCGGCCTTCATCGTGAGCTTACCTCTCATTTATTTGTTGGTTTTACAGGTGAACCGCAGCTGATGCTCACTGGTCCTGGGGGTGCTATACCCCCTGGACTCCTTCCACCAGCTGCAGGCAATCCTGCTCTATATGGCATAGCCGGGGCACCGATGTACTATCCCACGAATGGCCCCTCATTCTAAACCTCTCCCTTCCGGGATTCCAATCATTGTGATAATACATACACTCTACATACGCATTGGATTGCCGGTTTACCTTCTAGGATTATCGGTAAGTTTGTCGTCTTTTTTCGGGTGACTTTGCTCAGCCAAATCGCTCACGCATATTACACGACTGTCCGGCTTTCCTTTTTGGCGTATTTTTCATCATGTGCTTTTCTTGTGTGGTTCCGAGATTGACAGCTAATTTGCACAGACCTCTGTCTCAGGGCTCTTTGATGTATGTTTGGTGTATTTGGTGTAATCTTGTTTCCTTTTAGCACACGGATAGAGATAACGTTAAATTTGGTTTCACTAGTCCATTTGTATCATGAACTGTCCAGTTACTGCAGGCTTGAATTGTCTGGTGGACTGTCTGCTGTTCTAGTTCCTTTAGTCGCAGTTCTCTCCCGTGGATCGCGGTAATTATGGGCGTATTAGTGATGTTTCAGTGAATCTGCGTGTTGTTTGTTGCGCAGAAACTGCGGTATACAACAACCACTATCTTCTACCTTCGAGTTTTTGTGTTGTTCTTCACCAGTCATGTCCGACGTTAGTCTTTATATAGCGTCTAATGGAAACCAGGACTTCTCGAAGAAAGAGACCGCGAACTCCCGGAAATAAAACATTGGAGTAACTGGGAGTCCTATTTCGACAAGACACTACTTTCTGGTGGCCTACGTTCTACATTTAATGAAAACAGAGAGCTTTTTTGATCGATATGAAAGCTTAAATTAGGTTAGAGCCGTATATTCTACGGATTGGAACACTGCAAGTAGGAGAGGTCGTTTAGCTCAGTCGCTAAGGTCTAAAATCATGATCTAAGGGCTATTGATTCGACTGCTATCCTTAACATATAGTATATATACTATACAGTTCAAAAGCTTAACTTTTGAGCCTTTCGGGTCTCGGTAGTGGCGTCTTTATTTTAACTAGGCTAGCAATCGTGCAAATGTCGACTGGATTGTGGGAAACCTGTCCTTCACAGAATTTTTGCGATGTTTTTGTAAACACGAGACAGTTTTTTTTGCTATTGATATTGCATTAACCCATTGTTGATTAAACATTCTTCTTTCCTTCCATTCAGGTCCGTAATAATGTGGCCACGACTTTGTGCCTGCTTTCCAGGTTCCTATTCGTGCTCGCGTACGGACTATTTCCATTTTTATGAGTAGACTTGGAATCGTGTCGAAAATCTGCCGCTCGCGCGTATATAGAAACCGTACTCCTGTGTTTTATACTGTTTGTGTGCGTGTGTGGATGTAAGCTTGAACAAATCAATTTCTATATCACCGATTCTGTTGTGCCGTACGCGCTTGCCGACGTAGTCGTGGTCAACCGTCGTCGTCTCCTATGCTGCATAGTTATTCTGCACTTCTTCACCTTGATTTTTTTGGACAATAGTCTTTTATCCTCGTCGATTCACCGTCGTAGCAATCCATGCCAATTGTGTGTCGATAAGCAGCGTCGCGCCCGAGAACAACACACACGGTGACTTTAGTAATGGCGGCATATTATGCATCCTTACCCACCTCTGCACCCAATCATTCAACCACATTCCTGCATCGCTTTTGTCTTCAAGTGAACATGACCACTCATCATTTGTTCACCCCCTAAATGGATGTATCTCTCCACCTTCCCAGTGTTTCAATCTTTTCCGGTCCAAATTCTGGTGTTTTCGCTTCATTTTATGATCTGGAAGCAAGATAGGGAACAATTCGTTTACACCCACCGTGCCTCAGTGTTGTCATTGTGATCTTTCCACCATCTTTTCTTCTGGTAATTTGCTGTTCCTCCAGTTTATCCCTTGATCTGAGTGATGATTGTCCAGTTATTCGCGCCATCGCACCCTCCAGTTGCCGCACTGAGGAGGTGGGTACACTGTTGTTCCCAAGCTTCCTCATTCTATGTTTTCTCGTTTCCGTTTCTTCTTGCATACATATATACACAAACATACAGTACGTCAGCCTTTCGTCGGTCCACCACAGCCCGAGAGGTTCTGTTACATCCAATACCTTTTAATCTATGCGCGTGCGCACTATCTCTGTTTTGACCTTAGCTCATGTCACTTATCGACCACTATGAATTTTGGCTTCGACTATCAGTATGCTCATTCCCAGTCAGGGCACATTTGGGCGGAAAGTAGAGTGTTGAGAAAGAACCAGTGCGATCTTCAGTTTGTGGAGCGACGTATATCCTTCTGCCTTTGTGAGCCAGGCTACATGTGTAGCCCACTAGAGTGTGTTGCTAAAAAGATGGGGGAATGGGGTGTTCACTTTTGGATGGGTGTTCTCTTTCAACTTGACTCCAGTCGTAATTCTGGGCTCGATGAGGTAATTCGAAACCAAGCTGCCTGCTCATAAAAAGCGCTTCCATTTAAGACCAAATCTTTACACTCTATCAGGTGCCAGAACAACGTCATGCGTACAAACGATCCAGTCTTACTATTTTTGGATTTCCAAGGCGCATTCGACTTGTTTGGTCGGTCCGTTCTCCTTGACACTTGTCCATCAAATAGTGCCCTGGAAGTTTGTGAACATAATACGTTCTTTGTATTCCTAAACTTCCCGACGTATGGGAGTATACGGAGAGCTCTCCAAAGCTTCCGTACACAGGATTGTCCGTAAGGGTTCCTACACTCTCATTCTTATTTAATTTCGCGCTCGATGAGAAATTGAGGCGAACCCCGACGTTTAACTAGCCTCTGACGAAAGCTTTGCCGACCTGTAATAGTTAAACGATGTCGTTTTCTCTGACGAAAGCTTTGCCGACCTGTAATAGGTAGACGATATCGTTTTCGAGGGAGAGGAGAAAGCGCAGTAGTCCTGTACTGACAAACAGTTGGCCGATTCCCTGAAAACCCACTATTTTTCACGCTGCCTTCCGCATGTGCACACATTGTCCGGCAAACCTCCCGCTGTGTGCGCCTGCACTGTCGCTAAATAAGCGTTTTTTTCATCCAACACGTGCCAGCTGATCTGAAGTAAAAATGAGTGGACTTACCTACCACTACCAAGTTAGCTCATTGACCACAATCGGTCCTGTATCTACTCAAGTCCAAGTTGCTCAGCTTGAATGATTCCTGACATCTGGACAGTCGCCGTTGTGGATGGAGTTCAGAGTGGTTGTGTGATATGGTTTACAAAGAATTCAAACTCTCCCCAACAGCATCGAGCATAAACGTCTGGTCCGCCCAACTGCTCGCGATATAAGTCGGTGGGGAACGCGGAGAAGCAAGTGCTAACTGTATTGGGGTAGTGGCGTTGCCGCGCGGTGTCAGCCACACCTGTTAGCTGGTTTTCCTTAAGGATGATTAACCCAACCGTTAAACGTTTTCCTCTTCAGTTGTGTATGAAAGTGGGGAAGAACTATGTCGGGCGTCGTGAAACCCGCAGTCATCCAGTTGACCAAGCGGGAGAGTCTCCACATTAACCTAGCCGTCCAGTTTCAAAACAGTCTCGTTTATAACAGCAACTGTGATCCTCACTACCTCCAATTAGGTGTTACTGAATCGGTGTAGACGTTGGTAGGCTATAGTAACCGCTTTTGAGCGTCAGAACGGTCCTCCAACTCCAATACTATTAAAAAATGACTGATATGAAGATCTACGGATTTATATAAAGGCTTACTGAGTTCACTGACCGGCTGAGACAAGTTGGATCGGTAGGTTTACTGGTCCGATTGTCCACCGTCCTCTTACGTGTAGGTATCCATTCTTTCCTCGTAGTAGGAAGCAGTCCACACTGGGACTTCTTTAGAAGCAACTGCTGGTTCTTCTTTGGTTCACTGTTTCAGATGTTAATGCTAGCCAATCGTGTGCTCAGAACCCGCTTCTTGAAATCGCCCCATAAGGAACAATTTAGTGGGGTTAATTCTAGAGGTCTTACCGGTGATTCCTTCCATTCCTAAAAATCTGCCTATCTAAGAGACCATTGTAGAGAAACTGTGGACAGTTGATGCATGTTCAACAGGCCCATCTTTCTGGTTCTGTACAATAGTTTGGAGCCTTTTTATTCAATGGGTCTTGAATCTATACAGAGTTTGCACCTAGATCACCAAGTATGATGAAAGCGTTACGCTCGGTAACATCGCTCGTGAAAAGTAGCTTTTCTGACTAGGGCACATGTCTGTGCCATAAATCTCGAGCTGATTGAATCCTGGTGAGTCGTGATTGTCGGTTGTGTGGTGTACAGATCTCCCTTGTCAGGCTTACGATTGCTTCGTCCCTTAGTGAGGACGTGCGAACAACTGGGTCGAGTGTAGCTTCGCATCGTGTCGGCAGATTTTGGTACTTCTAATGATTAATGGGGCGTCATGGCTCTGTGGTTAGCGCGTGAATTTACTGACTGGAATGTCCGTGGTTCGAGCACGACCTCTCCCTTCGCACTTCCCCTGTCTAGGCTTGGGCAACCTGGCAGTATCCCAGCCCTCGTGCTTGCTCGTGATGGCATGGCTTTTAGGCACCGAAAAGGTACTACAGCTGAACGAATGATTACTCGTAAAACTGGCACCTACGTTCTCTTAAAACAGGTGCACGAATATCTCTGGTTATCACTGACACTTGTCATCCTGTGCCTTCTGAAGGACTTCAACAACAGCTGTTCCCGCTGTCTGTAATTGTTCGTAGATGTTTCATCAGCGCTACATCTTGCCCATCAACCATGACACCGTAGTCCTAACTTCTGTTCACATTTCAAGAGCGTCACAAGTTCCACGCAATTATGTATGGCGATACGACTCTGTGCATAGGATTGCTTAAAGCTTAGCTACACACAATACAAGAAAAACGTTTGGTGTTGAGAACCAGCTCATTTTCTATGCAGTTTGCATAACAACGTGCCATCACAGGAGCATTTCTCTGAGGGCGTTATTATTAGTGGCTACTCCAGTTACTGTGGTAGCGGTATACTATCAACACCTAGACACATCCGGTGTGAGTTGCATAATGTTTACAGCAGAAGCGAAACCCAATCGAAGATCGCTGAAATTCACCGCGACTTTTCACATCTGTTGCACTGTTTCTCGTCGCCTGGCATGAAGATATTCAAATATAGATGATGCCCTTTGAAGATCGAAAACCCTGTACTCCCGGTAACCTTCGGCTGAAAGTTCGGTCGGTAACGGGTCCGTTTGATTGAATGAACCTAAAGGATGGTGTGTATGCCGGTACAAAACTTATTCGGTGGCTTTCTTGGCATGCTTTACTCTATTGTAGGTGACTGTTATCCCAAGCCCTGTTAGCTACAGCGGTGCTGACTTATCACCCACAAATTAGTCAAAACTGAATGGGAGGCATCATCTGATTTGTGTTTAATGACGGACAATAAGACGCTGCGTCTCAGGTTGCCCGTGACATGATTAGGTACCCCAAATGGTTTGTACTGAGCATACATAGGAAACGTATGACTGAGCTGACTCACCCTTAACTAGGAGATTGCAACAAAATATTCTCCTGTGGAAACTATTCAATCTTCACTTAATCCCATTGAACTGTTTGAGGTTTGTCATACTCAGTGGTTTGACATGCCTCTTTAAGCGAAAGTCATGCTCTGAATCTTTTGTGAGTGAGTAAAGGAAAGGGTGTATGTATGTATGTATGCGTTTTCATGTGCATTCGTCCATACTGCAGCACTGTCTTCCAAGCTGTGTTCAATCGACCTGTCCAGAAGAGAGGTTTTGTAAATCTGAACATGTCAAATGGTGGTATTGGATCATCTAGAAAGATAGAACGTAAATAGGATAGAACATAAATTATTGAGTAGTAAAAGGCACCTTGACTTTCTGGACGGCATCCAATTCCTCCCAGAAAGCGGTACCGCTTAAGAAGGAACGTCATATAATGTATGCAATGGTCCAGTCGCGTTAAATCAATCACCAAAAGACGACAAGTAATAGACACGAAAACCATATTGAACTTTTGCTAACGACTACACTTATAGAATCTAGGGTGTGTATCCGGGTACCGAGGCCATTACTTTAGTAGCTTTGAAGTTTCCGATGTAACCCACGCATTTCAAGAACATCAATCGGCTCAAGCCTATGACGTGTTCATCGAGAGAACTGAAGAATGAAACATTTTGTTCCGAAATGAGGATACTAATATAGTCACTGCGACTGAAAGCACGATGCATAGTCCACAGTGGCAGGATAATTCATGCACACGTTCTGCTCGGTATTTGTTGTTTTACAGGTGACAAGGTTCAGTAATAATGCTTCTGTTAGAGGTGATTTCCCAATATACCCATAAACTTGAGTTTAGTGAGATAGGGGAGACAGGATGATAACTCACTTCACAATTTCAGTCTCCGAATTTTAACCGACACCTATCAGATATTTGTAACGATTCGTCCGCTGAAGGATTTTAGTTCAGGCTAGATTGCGCTGATGCAAGTACCTAAGGAGATAGATCTGCCCGAACTTAGTGACAGGTGTGTGTGTGTGTTTCGAACCTAGCCCCGGTATCTCGAGTGCTTCTGTCTAGGCTTGGGCAACTTGGCAGTATCTTAGTCCTCGTGCTTCTATTGGGTGGCTTTGCAGCTAAGCGCTGAAAGTGTTACAGCTGAGCGGTTATCTTGGCATGCGGTAGTGTAAGAAGAGCGAACTTCAACATTTCCGTTTAAGAAGTAAGTGAACCAATCTTCTGTTCCACAAACCCGACATCTGCTTTCGTTTCTTTGTAAAATGCCACTTTTTTGTTTCGATGGAAACATAAACTAGCGTGACTGGATGGGTGATCTTTTCCCGAAAGGAAACAAGAATTTTGGATTTTATAAAATCGGCCTTCCCAGAGGTATTCGGGAACCTGGCGAAGTTTTATAAACAGCTAGCTTCATTGAACTTGGTTGCTATATCTTTAACAGGTGCTAATGGATCGTTCTCATCAGGACGCATTAGGTCTTCAAACAGTAGGCTAAATTTCACAGTACAGTCATCGAAGGATGCCCCGATACTCTCTCTCTGAGGACCACTTTTCCTCATATCACGGTCAACCTCTTCAACAAGAGTCCAGTGAAGGCCACATTGTGTGGCATCCGTTTTAAGTTATGTGAATTATTTTAGCTTTCAGATCGACCTGCTGTCCGCTTCTCTTCACACTGAC